CTTACCCTAATCTCTGGTAATGCAAACTAGTTACATGAGTTAATCGCTCTAGGTGCCCTAACGCACCATAATCCGTTAGGTGGCGACTCTTCGAAATACCCAATTCCCAAAAGGAAACGAGTTGTTCCCCCCATGAATGTCGAAACCCCGACGCCCGCGAGGGAAAAAGTGGGCGCGACACTCACCTTGCTCTGAAGCCTATATCCCAATTCAAGAACGCGCTCAAACCTCCGAATCGGAGTCGAACGATCCAAAAACTATTCAAATGGGGTAAGAACTAGTCAATACATGCTCAAAAGTTCATATTCTAATTATTAAACTAATTTCCCAACCCTAAATGCAAAGTTCCTAAAATTCATCCCCGGGCCCACGTACTCGGATTCCGGAAATTTTTGAAGAAAGTTGTTACCCATAACCTAAGGATCAAGAATATATGATTTCTACTCCATTCCATAACCATTTTCGTGGTCGAATCTCTTTTTTATCCAAAACCTAGATTTTTCATATAAACCCTTGACTTCACCAATTTTTACATGTTAATTTAGCCATAATCTATGTATTAAACTCATGTTGTGTAGAAATTACTTACCTCAAAGTGCTAGGTGAAAACCCTCTTCCAAAAGCTCCAAAAATCGCCTAAGAGGATGAAGTGAAATGAAATAATGGCCTAAATCCCGCATTACAAGAGCTGGACACAGCCCTCTGATGTCGCATTTGCGACACCAGGTTCGCAAATGCGAGGGTCGCAAATGCGGCAAAAGCCTCGCAATTGCGAAGCCTGGGCTCAGCTGTTGGGATCGCAAATGCGACCATAAAGTCGCAAATGCGACGTCTGCTAGGATCGCAAATGCGGCCACAATGTCGCAAATGCGAACACTGCCAGGGGTCGGGCTTCATCGCAAATGCGAGGTTCACATTTGCGAATAATTTCTCGCATTTGCGAGACCTGCAACTGGTGCCAAGAACACCAGAAAATCTGGTATTCTTCCAACTCCTCCCACACGTCCGAAACACACCCGAGGCCCTCGGGACCTCATCCAATCACACAACTCAGTCCCATAACATAACACGGACCTACTCGAAGCCTCAAATCACGTCAAACAGCGCTAAAACCATAAATCGCACTCCAATTCAAGATTAATAAACTTTAAAATTTCAAACTTTTACTTTCGATGCTTAAACCTATCAAATCACGTCCGATTGACCTCAAATTTTGTACACAAGTCATATTCGACATTAAAGACATACTCCAACTTCCGGAATCGGAATCCGACCCCGATATCAAAAAGTCAACTCTCGGTCAAACTTTCCAAAAACCTTCAAATTTCTATCTTTAGCCAAATGACCCACGGACCTCCGAATTCACTTCCGATTGCGCTCCCAATACCAGAATCACCACACCGAGCTATTCCCAGACTTGTAATCCCAAACGGACTTCAATAACACTGAAATGCACTTCAACCTAGACTTATGAAATTCTTCCAAAAATGCTATCTTCCACAATAGGTGCCGAAACGTTCTTGGGCTTCCAAAACCCGATCCGGACATATGCCCAGGTCCGAAATCATCATACGAACCTGTTGGAACCTTCGAATCCCGATTCCGAGGTCGTTTACTCAAAAATACAATATCAGTCAATTCCTTCAACTTAAAGCTTCTGAAATGAGAATTCTCTCTCCAAATCAACTCCGAACTTTCTGGAATTCAATACCGACTACGGGTACAAGTCATAATACCTGAAATGAAGCTACTCAAGGCTTCAAACCGCTGAACGACACCGTTACATTAGACATTTTGCTTTTAGGTTTTGAACTGCATATTGCATAGTATGAACTGTTTTATATAGAAAGTTAAGGAGAATTTGGGATGGGTTTTAACAAGATCTAAAAGAGAACTTCTACTTAATCTATACTTCATTGCATATTTATATTCAAACTAAACACATAAAATCTCTATCTCTAAGAAAAATATATGGTACATCAACATACAAATTAAAAATAAATTTCGTACAACTTTAATGCAAATTTGAATATTTACAACAACATACGTAGTAAAAAAAAATTTTGTACAACTAATTATATATTATATAACTTATTTAAAACTTATCTACAACTTTCATATACATTATTCTACCCAATTAAATACAACTACAATATCATACAACTTAAATATAATTTTTATACAAATTTTATATAATACTCCATCCGTTTCAATTTATGTGAACTTTTTTGACAGGGCACGGAGTTTAAGAAAAGATACAAGACTTTTGAACTAGTGATGTAAAATGAGGCACATTTGTTTTGTGTGGCCATAAATCAATGCATAAAGGTAAATTATTTCCAAATATAAAAATGGGTCATTCTTTTTGGCACGGACTAAAAAGAAAATAAGTTCACATAAATTGAAACGAAGGGAGTATGTCTTTTGTATATTTTTTATCTGATTTACGCATAGTAAAAATAGATTTCATACAGCTAATTATATATTATACAGCTTATTTTCAACTTATCTACAACTTTCATACATTATTTCTACCAGTTAAATATAACTACAATATTATACAACTTAAATACAAATTTTATACAATATAAGTACAACAAAATGCAATTTACATATAATTATAATATAACTTTACTACAATATCGTAAGTATATTGTATGTCATGTTTTCTTCTTCTTCTTCTTCTTCTTCTTCTTCTTCTTCTTCTTCTTCAAGTTTCAATATGAAATTCAGCCAAAATCAAGTCTAATCTTCACCAAAACACAGATATATACTCCAAACAATATTCTCAATTGTTTGCAACAACACTCAATCCAAACAAATAAAGATATTTGAAACCCAAATTCGATTTCAAAGCATTAAAGCTTTTTAATGGCTGTCAATGGTGGAGAGTCAAACACCTTCAAAATTTATTGATTGATAATTTTAATTTTAATTTTATACAATATAAGTACAACAGAATATAATTTACATACAATTATAATACAACTTTACTACAATATCGTAAGTATGTTGTATGTCATGTCTTCTTCTTCTTCTTCTTCTTCTTCTTCTTCTTCTTCTTCTTCTTCTTCTTCTTCTTCTTCTTCTTCTTCTTCTTCTTCTTCTTCTTCTAGTTTCAATATGAAATTCAGCCAAAATCAAGTCTAATCTTCACCAAAACACCTTCAAAATTGAGATATAAACTCCAAACAATATTCCAAATTGTTTGCAACAACACCCAATCCAAACAAATAAAGATTCTAGAAACCCAAATTCAATTTCAAAGCATTAAAGCTTTTCAATGGCTGTCAACAGTGGAGAGTCAAACACCTTCAAAATTTATTGATTGACAATTTTAATTTGAACGCCAATGTGATGAAAAAAATTGCTAAGTTAAAACGATTGAAATCCATTGATAAATTCTATTAAAACTCTATACAAGATGAAAGCATAAAAAGACACAGAACATCAAATGAAGAAATATTGGGGGAAAAATAGAGAAGGAGAGTAGAGAGACGAAGAGAGAGAGAGAGAGAGAGAGAGAGAGAGAGAGAGAGAGAGAGAGAGAGAGGGCAAGTATAAAGGGATAAGGAAATAACTGATATTCCTTATTCAATTCCTAATATAAAGGGATACTCATTTAAAACTTATTTGTATATAATTGGTAAATTGTATATGATCATGTAATTAAATTGAAACTTGAGTAGGGAGGGTAATAAGTTTCAAATAATGTATACGAAGGTAAAAATCCCACTGAAATAATACTTAAAAAAAATAAGATGATACTGACCAGAACTTTACCAAATTTCACCACTTTATCATGGGTTAATTTATGACTGGCCACTCAATTTTTATATTATTGAATTATAATCACTAAATTATTTTTGTAATGAAAAAATAAAAGTTGAGTGACTTTTCGATTTAAAAAAATGATTTAGTGACTTTGCGTATATACAAAATATAATTTAGTGACTCCTATGCGATGAAATAAAAGTTGAGATTAAGATGTGTTTTAAGATTTGAATACTAAATAGTTAAGATTGTTTATTTTTTTAACATTTCAATGTATGAAATTTATCTTTATTTAAAAATTAATAAAAATAAAATTCAAATAAAATGTTAATTAATTTAATATTTTTTCAATATATATATATTAAATATGATAGTACGTTGGTGGTGGTGATGACTGACTGAGGTGCTTGTGAATGTTGATCAAAGGCGATGGTTGGTGGTGATTTTGGTTGATAGTGGTAGCTCTGGGTAGTAGATAGTGGTGATTGGTTGCGATGGCGACTATGGTTGAGGATAGTGGTGGTAGGTGGTGAGAGTTAATAATGGTAGATGGTGGTGGTGGTTGTGATTGAAGAAGGTGATGGTGGGCAATGGTAGTTTATTCTGGTGGACGGTGCCGGCCATGCTTATTGATAGTGATGGGATGATTGGTTTGTAGTTGAGGTGGGTGAGTGTGTGGTTGTGGTTGAAGATGGTGGTGATGGGGTGGTGGGTGGTGATAGTGGCAGCGGCTAAGGTTTATGATGGTGGCAGTGGTAATGGTTGAGTATGGTGGTGGTAGTAGTTGATAATAGTAGGCGATGGCGACAGTTATTAATGAATGTGAATACTAACATCTTAATAAAATTAAGTCTTTGTTATAAATCTTAATCATACAGACCACCCATAGAATTTTCATACTAGAATTTTTTTTTTTATTTTCAAGACCTGTAGGCGGAAATTAGGGGCGAAGGTAGAATCTGAGGTACGAGTTGGCCGAATTTTGTAGTTTTTACTCAAATAATATATTCATAATAAAAATTTATTATATATGTAGACATATTAATTTATAACCCAATCATTATTACTTAAAATTATCATTCTAAAATTTAAAACTCATAAAATAAAAATCCTGACTGCGCGTGTAATAGTCGACATACCATGATAGTCGACATGCTTCATTTCAAATACACCGGCCCCACGTTGGACGGTGTTTGCTCTTAGTCAAGCCACCTATATATATAATTCCTTCTACCAATATCTTCCCTCGTGGTTCAAAGTCTTCTTCTTCTCCTCTTTCTATCTTTGTATCCATTTCTTACGATAGTGTGTGTGTGTGTGTTTGTGTTTTTTTCTGGCTCACTGCTATTACTTCAACAGGCAAAACAGTTACACACACTGAAATCTACACTGATATATTACCTTAGCTTCTGCAGTTCTGATTTCAAGCTGCCATTCACAAAATACAGGTACTGTTTCTGTATATAAATTCTCATATGATTGCTTTGGCTTTAATGAGTTAATTTCCGAAAAAAAAAGATGCTGTTTTTGCTGTTAATTTTCATTTTGTGGATATTTTTCTTCCTTTTCCCAATATTTCTTCTTTTTGGAACTTCTTTTGTTTAACCTTTTCTTTGATATATTTTGGTGTTATAGTGATTCTCGTGTTCTATATACATACATACATATATATATATATATATATATATATATATATATATATATATATATATATATCTTAAATAATTTTAACTAGTACATTATAGTAATTCTTAGTACTCTCCTGGTCTCAATTTATGTGAGTTTTTTTTGTGCTGAGCATGAAGTTTAAGAAAGAAAAAGATATTCTTAAAATTTGTGATTTGAAGCAAGCTATAGACATTTCTTGAAAAATTTGAAGTTAAATTAATTCTTAAATAAGAAGAGTATTACATGAATTAGGACAGAGAGTGTAATATTTTGTATGTACTTTCTAATTATTCAAATTTTGTGCTATAAGAAATTATCAAGATTAAAGTTCATGAATTTGATAGTTTAAAGGTTTAATCGTCGTGTTTCACATTTCTTCATTCTTTCTGAGCCAAAAGGACTATTCTTTTCTTGAAATTTAAATAGCTTATGTACCTTTGTATCTGTATATTACTGCTCCCTCCTGTCCAAATAAGTGTTTTTTTGTTTTTTTTTATGGTCCAAAATAAGTAATTTTTCCAGATTTCAAGAATGAATGAATTATTTTTTTCCTACATTATCCTTGGAGTAAATAGTGTTGGAATATGTGTTAGGAGCATTTATCTGAAGAGATAGTAAAGGTTAATATGGTCAATTTCATTACTAATTAATGTTAAAAAGTACATTTCTTAATCTGTGTGAAAATAGCTAAAAAATCACTAACGGGAGAGAGTAATTCTTATTTATGAATTATGAGTTAAGTGTTAAGACTGTACGTATAAGTGATAACTTTCACACATGTATTGGTTGGTGTTTTTCTGTACGTGAGATTTTAATTACATCTATTACCACTTAAGTACCATTACAGTTAGTGCCCAACTGCCCATTAATTAATTAATTTTTTTGGGTTCATTGAATCATAAATTTGGTTTTAATAATGTGCCTTTTCTTTATTCTACTCTGTGGTGCACACTAAGTGACTATTTTGTGCACACCCTTTAATAAAACTTTTAGAAAATAAATAAGTATTTTTACTAAATTATGCTTAACTAAATTTTACATATTGTTAACGTGACATTGAGATATGTAAATAGGGGCAAATTTGAAAAAACTGTAGTTATTTCATTCTTGATATGTAACTATAAGACTTGTTTTGAACCAAAATGAAAGGGTCAAAATTCACTTATTATGGACCGGAAGGAGTACTGTTTATTTGTGCATAGCTGACAAGTTCCATGGGACCTTTGATAACAATAATATATTTTAATATACTTTATCAAAGAAAAAAAATTAAAATTAATGTACTATTTTTTGTCTTATTTCCATAGTGTTAATTAAGTGGTCCTGTGATAAAGATGTGACACTTTCCGTCCACGGGATTTGAATTTGTTACTTTCACATAGTGGAATCCTTGAAATTTTGACCTTACTTTTTAAATCCAATATCCATATCTGGGACCCTTTTTCTGAATTTTGTCCTTTATTTTGTAGTAAACTAATCTCCCATCATTATTCTTAAGCAAACACTAGATGCTATCCACTTTACAGATTGTTTTTTCTTCCCTTCTGTTTCCTTTTTTTTAATTGTACATTTTTTATAGGGTAAATGGTCAAATTTATCTCCGTAACATTTGAATTTCAGCCCGCAAGGGTTGAATGAGTTGGCTGGGTGAGTGGTTTCCCACATGGAAGATTTGTGATCGATTTCCCTCGCCAGCAGCCTCCTCAATCAGAGCTCGTCGCACCAGGCGTGCCTAGTACGATTTACATTTCTTGTGTGGTTTACGAGCTATTGCACACTGCGCATTTTTTAAGCGACATTAGGAAAAACTCTAGTTTTTGCTATTGACTTCTAATTTTATACCATAGTTGAAAGTAAGTAGACAAAATTGGACCTTTTTTCTCAAAGTATTTGGACACGTGTAAATGCGGGACAATTTACTAAAGTCAAGTGTATAAATGCACCAAAAGTGTAAAGAATGTTAAAATTGAATAATCTTTGAAAACACAGGAGCAATTTTGAACCTTTTTCAAAAAAAGCAACCCAGTGAACAAGGCGTCGCGCGTTCACGCTAGTTGAGAAAATGGGACGTACCCTAAGGGATATGATATAGACAGCTTACCCTACTTAACCCGTAACCTATAGGTCACATTGAGACAATTTTTTTAGTTTCCCACTCGATGTCCGGTATTCATATTGGGGTCGGACTAAATCCGGATTTGCGCCAAGAAGTCCACTTTGGGGGTTAAGCTCTCCTTAACAAAGGCAATTCCATACCCAGGGACTCGAACCGAGACCTTTAGTTAAGGACGAAGGATTACTTAACACCCGATCAAACCCAACCCTGGTTGGTAAATTGAGACAACTTTACTGGTGCTCCAACACTTACTTCAACTTTGAACCTTTTTCCTTTTATTTATAGTGGTCGTTGAGCTCCATGGGATAAATTTAAACTTATGATTGCTATTTGTTACAGAAAGATAATGAAAATGGTGGTAGAGAAAACTGAGAAGTTTGATCCAGAAGAAGTAATTGAGGAATTTGAGGTGTTAACAAAAGATGCTGGCAAAATTCAAGAAGAGACTCTACAGAAGATTTTGGAAGAAAATGGAGGGACAGAATATCTGCAGCAATGGGGTCTGAATGGAAAAACTGATTCACTGTCTTTCAAGAATTGTATACCCATTGTCACCCACAAGGATTTGGAGCCTTATATTCATAGAATTGCTGATGGTGATCTTTCTCCCATTCTTACTGGAAAGCCTATTACCACTATTTCCTTAAGGTACTCTAAAATTTCTTCCCCTCCTAATTGTTGCAAACCTAAAATAAGTACTTCCTTTGTTCAAATTTATGTGTCTTAGTTTGATTCGGCAAAGATTAAGAAAAAAAGAAGAGTTCTAAAACTTAAGGTCTTAAACATGACGTACACTAATGGTTTATAAGACTTTTGAAACTTGTGGTCTTAAACATGACATAACATTTATGTGGCTATCATGGACGGAGGTAGAAGTTCAGATACATGTTCAGCGGAACCTAGTAGGTTTAACTCAAACAGTATATTTGTGTTAGGAAATTTATTAAATAGGTACAATATTAATTTTAAAACAAAGTTATTAATTAAACTATTTTCAAATTTAGAAAGCTCTCATTCTTTCAGGAATATATTAAAAAGGAAGTGCTGCCACCAGTGGTTGAGGCAGGATTTTCGCTAACGGGGTTCAAAAAAGGAAAAAATTAATAAATTAAAAAATACTGTGAAAGTGGGAATTGAACGTATTATATAATATATAGAGGTACACACCGGATTTTATCTTATATGTACAGTATAATTTTCCGGCAAGGGGGGTCGGGTGAACCCCCTTCCACCCCCTAAACCCGCCCCTGGCTTCCACATAAACTAGAATATAGGGAGTAAATAAATGTGTAACTTCTATAAAAGGTTATGTTTTTAGACAAAGTGGTTACATACTTTAGCATGAGATTAAAGCAGCATATGCATTGGATTCAAGTCTCATTGTCATCCAAAGAATTTTCACATGCTCGACTTAAGGAAAAAAGAGTCGGCTCGAACTTAAGGAGCGTGATGCAGACATTAAAATAAATAAATGTGTCCTTTTTTATCATGATGAGAAGAGAAAATTAAAGAGAAATGATTTTTTCCTTTCTTCAATGGTTTTTATTGGGGTGTAGAAGAGGAGTGGTGTTGTGTAGTGTAAAGGTTATATCTTTAGAAGTTGAAGAAGAAAATTTGATGTTAATGATTTATTGCAGTTCTGGGACAACTCAGGGAAAGCCAAAGTTTGTACCTTTCAATGAAGAATTGATGGAATCCACTATGCAAATATTCAAGACATCTTTTGTCTTTAGGAACAGGTAATGTAATTTCCTGTACTATCTTATAATGCTTTACACTGTTAGCTATCTTTTTCAACTCTACTGCATTTTTGGGTAATGGCCCTTTTTATTTGTGGCAAAGTTAGTCCAATTGAGAAAGACACCATGAGTTGTTTATTTCTTTATTTTGAAAATGTTCCCATCTGTTCATGTGCAGTGGAAGATTTTGTTCTTTTGTTTCAATGAGTGGTTTTTAGTTTTTCTCTTGGTACTCTTCTCAGGGAGGGGCTATAGACTTATAGTTCACACGGTGACAAATGTGGTGACGCATCCCTAACGTTCGTCACAAGGAATTCTTTTTTATCTTTCATATTTCTTGAGATTCACCCTACAATATGTGGTAAAATTAGTGATTTTATCCCTTTTAAAAAGAAAACTGATTTTTTAACCTCCTCATGCTCACGTCACTACTGCAAGAAAAAAAAAAAGAAAAGCAAAATCCAGGGAAATTTATCGTAATTGATTAGTTAACATGTTGGCTTATTGTATTGTAAAACACGGGAAAAAATCATTGGCTTATCAAATGGTTGATGTGAAGATTTATGTTATTTTGCAGAGAATTCCCAGTTGTAAATGGGAAAGCTTTGCAGTTCATTTATGGCAGCAAGCAGTTCAAGACGAAGGGCGGTTTGGCAGCTGGAACTGCCACTACCAATGTGTATCGGAACGCACAATTCAAGAAGACAATGAAGGCAATGCAGACCCCTTGTTGTAGCCCTGATGAAGTAATATTTGGCCCTGATTTCCAACAATCTTTGTACTGTCATCTTTTGTGCGGCCTCATTTTCCGCGATGAGGTTCAAGTCGTCTCTTCTACATTTGCTCATAGTATCGTCCATGCTTTTCGAAATTTCGAACAAATATGGCAAGAACTTGTGACCAATATAAGGGAAGGTGTTCTTTCTAGCCGTGTCATTGTCCCTTCTATGAGAGCAGCAATGTCGAAATTACTCAAGCCTGATCCCGAGCTTGCTGATACTATTTTTAACAAGTGCAGCCGGTTAAGCAATTGGTATGGCTTGATTCCTGAACTCTTCCCGAACACTAGGTACATATATGGTATCATGACCGGATCCATGGAACCTTACTTGAAGAAACTGAGGCATTATGCGGGCGACTTACCTCTGCTAAGTGCTGATTATGGATCTTCTGAAGGGTGGATTGGAGCAAACGTTAACCCCGAGTTGCCTCCCGAGCTTGTTACATATGCAGTACTTCCTAATATTGGTTATTTCGAATTCATTCCTCTCATGGAAAATTTAGACGGTCTGGAGCCTATGCCAGTCGGTCTAACTGAAGTTAAACTCGGCGAAGAGTATGAAATTGTAGTCACCAATTTTGCAGGTATAATTTTCTTCTTCCCCTTTTCTTGGAAATGCTTTACATGGAAAAAGCTTATTATATCACTGGTTCAGTGCATTCTTTCTTGGTATAATGAACTTAAAACGCGAGCATAAACTCGTAATCAAGGATACTATAACTGAGACTCACTGTCTACTTGAAAATAAGGATTGAAATTCATCTCTTTTATAAATTTTGTTTATTCCTTTTTCAAGTTTTCCCCAAGAAATTGAATGAGTTTAGGCATGTATATGCAGGTCTGTATCGCTATAGGCTCGGTGATGTTGTCAAGATAAAAGGATTCCACAATGGCACTCCAGAACTCCAGTTTATTTGCCGTAGGAATCTCTTATTGAGCATCAACATCGACAAGAACACTGAGAAAGACTTACAACTAGCGGTGGAAGCAGCAGCCAAGATCTTATCAGACGAAAAGCTGGAAGTAGTCGATTTCACTAGCCACGTGAACGTCTCAGCTGATCCGGGACACTACGTGATCTTCTGGGAACTGAATGGTGAGGCTAGTGAGGAAATCTTGAAAGAATGCTGCAATTGTTTGGACAAATCTTTCGTCGATGCAGGCTATGTGGGATCTCGGAAGGTCCACGCCATAGGCGCTCTTGAGCTTCGAATTGTGAAGAGGGGAACATTTCATAAGATATTAGATCATTTTGTAGGATTAGGTGCTGCAGTAAGCCAGTTCAAGACACCAAGGTGCGTCGGCCCGACTAATCTCTCTGTGCTGCAAATACTGTCTAGCAATGTAGTTGAGAGCTATTTTAGTACTGCATTCTGTTGAATTAATGTATAATGAATGTATCTAGCCAGCCTTGTAAGTCAGCTGGTCATTCTTCATCTCAATAACATTTTGAATTGTACAAATTTGCGGTTTAGTTTAACTTCTATGTCCCCTCCAAAAAGACTAAAATAAACAATAAGATAGCTATGTTGCTCGAACTCTCCAAAAATTAAGTGTGATAATTTAAGCCAAAATCCATTTAACCCGCCCACCACGTCCAAGGTTGGGCCAGACATTGACCTGCTCATTGTTGAATTCTGCCCATCTTAACCCAACTCATCTTGCCCATTTAAAGTTAGACTAATTTTTAGTCCAAATTGATCCATGAACAACTTTGCTAAAATATCTTTAAAATAATTCCTTTTTGTTTGATATATTATTTATGACCATAACAAAAGAAAAAAGTCTTATTTGGTAATTAACAATTCATAAGAAAATAACACACATTAATTAAAGCTTGGTAAGAGTTGTGCGGGTTGACCTAAATATTAGTCCATCTTGACCCAGCTCATCTCAGCCCAAAGTAACTTTTGGATGGATCATTGACCCGCTTAATTATTGACCCAGCCCATTTTGACCCACCCAATATCAGCCTGACCCACCCCATTTGACACCCCTACTGAAAATGTTGCTGGAATGTGGTGTCAGATCCTCCAACAATAGTACTCCCTCCGTTCCAATTTATGTGAACCTATTTGACTGGTGAAATAGCACGTGCTAGCTAGTTTTCGGACTGGTCATTCAAAAATAGCCAGCATTTGCAAAGTCATTGAAAAATAGCCATTATTTTACTGCAACACGAAAAGTTTCAGCATAATATACTGGAGATCGGTGCACATGTGTATGAACTTCCAGCATATTTGCTGGAAGTGCAACACGTGGAAAGTTCCAGTATATTATGATGGACCGGTATATTATACTGGAACTCCAGTATATTATACTGGAGTTCCAGTATATCCAGTATACTTATGCTGGAACTCCAGTATAATATACTGGAATTCCAGTATATTATACTAGCGTATATTTTCGGATTTTGAACAGTATTTTCGTTCAGATTTATCTTTACATGAAAAGTAACTAAATTTCGATTACTTTTGAAACTGTGGCTATTTTTGAATGACCACTTGTAAATCTGGCTATTTTTGAATTTCTCCCGTTTTTTATTTTTTGGCGTTTCAGGGGCATAAAACTGAAATTTCGCTCGATTTTCAGATTTTCATGTGCTATAGCCCATGCCTTCTGCATGGGCCCGGGCGATCGGACCCGGATTGCCTAAAATTTTGCCGGACCATAAAAATGATCTAAGGAACAATAGTCATTGTCTCGCCATGACCGTTCCTCGTTTTTAGCGTTTTAGGGCTATAAAACATGAATTCTGCCCGTTTTCCAGATTTTTGTGTGCTATCCATGCCTTCTTCATAGGTCCAGTCGACTGGACCCGGATCGCCTAAAATTTTACCGGACCATGAAAAACGATCTAAGGAACAATAGTCACTCCCTCGCCATGATCGTTCCTCGGTTTTTGGTGTTTTAGGGCCTTAAAACTAAAATTTTGCCCGATTCCTAGATTTTCGTGTGCTATAGCTCACGCCTTCTGCATGGGCTCAGACGATCGAATCCGGATAGCCTAAAATTTTGTCGACCCATCAAAAATGATCAAAGGAATAATAGTCACCGCCTCGCCACGGCCGTTCCTCGTTTTTAGCATTTTAGGACCATAAAACTAGAATTTTGCTGATTCAGATTTTCATGTGCTACCACGCCTTCTGTGTGGACCCGTGAGATCGGACCCGAACCCCATAATATTTTGCCGGACCATCAAAAACGACCTAGGGAACAATAGTCATCTCCTCGCCATGACTGTTCCTCGTTTTTTAGCGTTTTAGGGCCATAAAACTTGAATTTTGCCCGATTCTCAAATTTTCATGTGCTATAAGCCACGCCTTCTAAATGGGCCTAGGCCACCAGACTCGGAGCGCCTAAAACCTTTCTAGACCATAAAAAAAGACCTAAGGAACAATAGTCACTGTCTCGCTATGTCCGTTCCTTATTTTTTGGCATTTTACGGCCATAAAACTGGAATTCCACTCGATTCACATATTTTCTTCTGCTATAGCTCACGCCTTCTATATGGACCCAGGAGACCGGACTTGGATCACCTAAAATTTTTTCGGATCTTAAAAACGACCTAAGGAAAATAGTCATCGCCTTGGTATGACGGTTCCTCATTTTTTGGCGTTATAGGGCCATAAAACTGGAATTCCACCGGATTCTCAGATTTTAGTGTACTGTAGCCCACACCTTCTGCATGGGTACGGGCGACCGTACCCAGATCACCTAAAGTTTTTCCGGACCATAAATATAACCTTCGGAACAATTGTCACCACCGCGCTAGGACCATTTCTTATTTTTTGGTGTTCTAGGGACATAAAATTGGAATTCCGCCCGATTCCCAGATTTTAGTGTGCTATAGCCCACGTATAGGCCCGGACGATCAGACCCAGATCGCCTATGTAATGACCCGACTGGTCGTTTTGAGCGATTGCGTCCGGTTCGGCAGTTTGAGGCCACGAGCAGCTTCATATTATGTGTATCGACTTGCCTACATGGTTGGAATCTATTTCCAGATGAATCGGAGTCGAATTGAAAGAAAGAATCTAGTTTTGGAAGCTTAAGCGGTAAGAATTTGACCAGAATTTGACTTTTGAGTAAACGGCTCCGGAATAAGTTTTGGATGACGTCAGTAGCTTCGTATGGTGATTTTGGACTTAGGCATGCATTCGGATTTCGATTTGGAGGCCCGTAAGGTAGTTTGAGGCATTTCGGCGAAAGTTGGAAAAGTTGAAGATTGAAAAATGGAGAGGTTTGACCCATAGTTGACTTTTGTGTTATCGAGGTCAGAATGCGATTCCAAAAGTTGGAACAGCTCCGTTATGTCATTTGGGACTCGCCTGCAAAATTTGGTGTCGTTTGGAGTTGATTTGATATGGTTCGGACGCTTGATTGCAATTCTAGAAGTTCTTGAAGTTCATAGTGATTTTCATGCGTTTTGGCATCCGATTCGTGGTTCTAGAAGTTATTTTGATGTTCCGATTGCACGAGCGAGTTCGTGTTATGTGTTCAGACCTGTGGGAGTGTTTGGTTTGGAGCCCCGAGGGCTCGGGTGAGTTTCGGATTAGCTTCGGAGTGTTTTGTTGATCTTTATGTGTGCTGGTTCTGGTATTCTCGCATTTGTGAGGTTTTGGTCGCAATTGCGACTACCGCAATTGCGAGGTAGTCATCGCAATTGCGAACCTGGGATGCTGGGGGCTGGGTCACATATGCGAAGAAAATCCAGCATTTGCGAAACCCTTAGAGTTCGCATTTGTGAACTCCCTGTCGCATTTGCGATGAAGACAGTATTATTCCAGGCTTCGCATTTGCGAAGCTTTCTTTGATTTTGCGACTTTGCATTTGCGAGCCCAGTGTCGCAAATGCGACATCTGCAGCCTGCTAAAAACTGGATATTCCGAGTTTTTGCTCATTTTTCATATTTTTGAACCCTAACTCCGAGGTGGGGCGATTTTGAGAGAAGATTTTCATACCAAATCATTGGGTAAGTCTCTCTAATCAATTTCCAACTATATTTTGTGATTATATCTTAGATTTAACATCAAATTCATGAGAATCTAAAGGAAAATTTGGGAAAAATTGTAGAATCTTTCAAAAATGTAAAATGATGATTTGAAGGACCAAATAGTATCGAAATTTGATAAATTTTGTATGGGTGAACTCGTAGCGTAATGGGTGTTTGGTTTTTGTAAATTTTGTCGGGTTTCGAGGTGCGGGCCTGGGGAGTTGACTTTTGTTGACCTTTTGCAAATTGTGTAAGAATCATAGTTTTGTTAATTGAAATTGTTTTCTCTTGCATTGTTTGATGTATTCAAGTCGTTTTTGGCTAGATTGAGCCGAGCGTTGGTGAATTGGTAAAGGAAAAAGCTAAATTGAGTATTAAATTGGCCGGATTGAGGTAAGTATCTTGTCTAACCTTGTGTGGGGGACTCCCTCTTAGGATTTGAGTCTTCTATGCTACTTGTAGCCCGTGCACGCGAGGTGACGAGTGTGTGCTCTGACTTATTTGTGGAAAGTTTGCCTTTAGGGTTATTAGGTCCTTATGTTCATTAAGTAGGAGGTTTTCCGATATAATTGTATTTCCTAATTGCTTGTTTTACCTCTATATGCTCCATACAATATTGTTAACTTTCCTCTAATTCTTACTTGTTACTTGGCCCTTAATTGCCTTAATTAAAGTAATTTTCCTCCTTATTGGTTGTTATTCTTAATTGTGAAATTCCTCTATGACCCCATGCCTATATGCTATGTGCCCAAATTGTTGTGGTTGCCGGTGTAACTATCACGTGCCTTATATGTCTTGTTATTTTTGTAAAGGTTGTTGTGCTTCTTGGTTTGTCCGTGATTCTCTTGTTGCCGTGTACTCATACTCTCGTTGGTAGAAATTCTTGTGATTGGTTGTTGAATTGTTGTTGCTGTTGATTTTAAACTATGTCTGGTTGTTGATATGTTGAGGAGGAATAAGGGAGACTTGATGTTGTCTGGTGGGATCGGGTTGCACGCCACAACAAGGAGTAATAAGGGCGGACAGGTGGGATCGGGATGCGGCCGCATCAATAGATATATGTGCTTATATATTCCTCTTGACTGTACAAGTTATTCGGTGGTTTTACATTTCGTTTAGGATTTGGTTATAGCTGAATACTAAGAAGACCCTGCCCATTTGTTTGAAACTTCGACGATTTGTACTTCGGATTTCACTGAGTTTTGAGGGTCGGTTATTGGCCTTGAGTTGTTGACTTGCCGTTGTTCCTTGAATTCCTTCTCTGAAACTATTATTCTAGTGAATTAGTATTTAAAGTAACTTTACTACGTTGAATCTTTTCCTCTGGACTTGTTAAGTTATTAGTAATATCGTGATAAAGTAATTAGCACTACGTTGTTATAAGTGACTTTTAAATTTGAGCTCACCGTGAATATGTATACATCTTTCAATAATTCAAATTTCTATAAATGTTATGGTCTATTTCAATTAGTTTTCTCAATTAA